CCAGCTCAGAGATCCACTCATTGACGATCACACGTTGACGTGATTGGTTAAACGGTAGTTTGTGACATCAGAAACACAAGCGATTTGAGACTGTCTTTGTTTCACTGCAGTTTTAAAGAGAAACTATGGTGCTGTTGATTTATGAATTTGCACATGGCTTGTCTTCAAGCATATTAAAAACACCACATAGACATGTAACAACAATAAACGCTTGATATTCACCACAGGTGGACTGACAATAGCATAATACAGTGATTACATGATGGTTGGTAATACCATACATCACCATATCCATTTATCATGGTGTTCACATGGGACGTTGACATTTTTTTTATTTAATTTTTTTGCATGGTCTAACTTTTTCCAAATATTCTTGTTACCAGAGGACCTTCCCCTTGAAGAAACATTAAACCAGCTGACCATTGAACTGCAGGTTTGGGAAACACTAAAAACATACAATTAATGGCAATGAAGTAGTTTCTTTATCACCATCACATGAATCAGTATTGTTCTGTGTCTAAATAAGACTGACCTCTCTCTCTCTCTGTAGCTGCAGAGTGGCCATGAGAAGGTAGCTGAACAGATCAGTAAAGACCTGACGCAGCTCTGTGCTCAGCTGTCGGCTCTTTGGACACAGTTTTTGGAAGCCACGGTTCCTAATCCACATATCCGCTCATACCTGGCCCAGGAGCACCACACGCTCAGGGTGAGAGAGGCTGTTTTATGTTAGGCTGGGAAGTCCTTGACAACATTTTATCTGTTTAAAAGGCACACTATGTAACTTTTGGCCCTCTAGAGTTAAAAAACTAAACTGAATGTGTTTTGTGGAAGAACAGTTTTGGTTGTGCTTTGGGTTTGTGTGACTGTGCGGATGAAAATGGTTTTTACTGCTCATAAAATATTGACTATAGTCTTAAAGGAGTAGTTCACTTTAAAAAAAAAAAAAAACTTTTGCTGATAATTTACTTGCCCCCATGTCATCCAAAATGTCCATGTCTTTCTTTCTTCAGTCGAAAAGAAATGAAGGTTTCAGGATTTTTCTCCATATAATGGACTTTACTGGTAACCAAACGGTTCAAGGTCCAAATGACAGTTTCAGTTTCCCTAGATTTACCCTGCCATACAGGCACTGCAAAAAATGTTTTTCTTACTTAGTATTTTTGTCTTATTTTCAGTTAAAAAATCTAAAAAACCTTAAATCAAGATGCATTTGACAAGTAAAATGATCTAAGATATAGAGCCAGACCGATATTATCGGCCGATATTAGGCATTTTCCAAAATATCAGTATCGGCAGTTATAATGGCCGATAAATGAATATTTAAAAAATAAAATAAAAACTGACAAAACACGCTTCAATCATCTCTCCTTGGCATGTTATATTGAAAATGTATGTTTTACAATTTGCAGTATGATGTTATCTATTGCTAAATTATGGCTCATCATAGATTAGCTAACCACAAAGCAAGCTAATGCCACTATCATCAGTGGAAGACCGCTAACGTTAACATTAATGAGCTTGGAAACAACAATGAACTTTTTTTGCCTAAATAAAGTAATGATTACTGTATTTATAACTAGCATATGTCTAGTTACAGTCCCTGCATTGTAAAATGTAAGTTATACTTGCGAGTGAACATTTAGACAATAGAGAAAAAGTATCAAACGTATTGTTACACGTGTGTGAAATCCAACAATATTTAATAAAAAAAAATATCGGCCGATATGTCGGAATATCGGATTTTAAAACCATAAATATTTGTATCGGCCTTCAAAATCCTTTATCGCTCGGGGTATTAAACAAGATTATTCTTCTTACTCCATTGGCAGAAAATTTTGCTTGTCTCAACTGAACTATTCCCTCAGAAAACAACAATATCTTACATATTACTTGTCTATTAATTAAATGCATCTTGATTTAAGATTGTTTGTTAGATATTTTGACTGGAAAAAAAGACAAATATACTACTAAATAAGAAAAATGGTAAATTTCGAACGTGACAAGTCCATTTTTGCTTTATGAAGCATGCAAATTCAAATACAATAGCTTACTTCATAATTCCAGCAACACTGACATTATTCCCTGATTGCAAACAGTAGAATTAGTCTCAAGTCAGTCTGATTTATATTATTGTAGGCTAAATCCTGCAATAAACTGTGGCTCTTCCCAGCATCCATCACAACTCTTTTCTCTAGAGAAATGTATTAGACATGGAAACTTTATCTCTACTGCATGCATACAGGCAGTAATTCCACCCACAGGAGAGCTCAGCTTTTAATTAAAGAACTGTGAGTTATTATAATGATGAAAAAGATGAAGAGATGAATCCAATTTTGACTTTATTACTAGACCGTCTTTATTGGTCTCTCGTCTTTTTATAAAATATTTCTGCTCACTGTGGAGGACGTGTGTCTGATCTTAAAAAGAAATTTAAGACACGAGATTGTAATGCATTTAAAATGTGCCTGCAAGAGAGAAAAGTTGAAATGACTGAATTATAACTCAGCGTGATCTACAGTGACTTATACAGTATACTTTTTTTTAAATGGGTAATTCTTAAATAAAAACAATTTTTTAAGAAAATATGTTTTCACACATGCTTTTTAACAACTAAAAAGTGTTTAAATCACATATTCTACTTTCCAAATTATTAGGTATATAGAATTTATCATTTTATTTGGTAATACTTTACCTAGTGACATGACACCTTCATAACCATGACATGACATATGTCTTGAATATGAAATAAGGTTTATGCATGTTTATGACAACTGTCATTAAGTGTCTTTTGCTCAATAATGACATTTTCAATGCAAATACGACATTGTTTGAGGCATGTCTTTGTTATGACATCTTGACATAAACCAATAACATCCATCATAACCTGTCAGTGTCTTTGTCATGACAACTTGACATAAAATGAAGTTAAACTCTCATGTGGTTGGCTTTGACATTGGCTGTCATGAGGCCATTATAACTGTCATGACCAATGTTAAAACCAACCTCCTGACAGTTTAATGTAATGTTAACCAATAAAGCTAAGTGGTTTCTTAAGTGTGATAATGAATCTGCTATGTCATTTTAATGACAGGTTGTGTTGTCTTAGTAATGTCAAGTTGTCATGACAACGACACTGACGGGTTATGATGTATTGGTTTATGTCAAGGTGTCCATAAACATGTCAAACAATGTCATATTTGCATTAAAAATGTCATAACTGAGCGAATGACACTTAATGACAGTTGTCACAAACATGCATAAAACTTCAATCATATTCATAACATATATCCTGTCATGATTATGAAGGTGTCATGTAAGTCTTATGCACACCCCTTCAAGTAGAGTGTTACCTATTATTTCAAGAGTCGATTCGAAAATCTAGTCAAAAGTTCCCCTGATAAAAAAAAATCTTAATGAACAACAAAGAATGTGTCATTGTCGAATTATTTTTTGTACAAATTAAATGTGTGTTTGTGCAGGTCAGGAGATTTTCTGAAGCGTATTTCTTCACGGAACATCACAAAGAGTCGTCGCTTACATTTCAGGAGGAGCTGTGAGTCCTTTATCATAGTGTCTGTCTTCCTAGCTTTCTAGCTGTCAAAACGGAGACATTACCTCACTTGTTCTAAATAAAGCTAATTATTACAACAGCACTAAAAAGTACTGAGGCGATATCACTTAAAAAGGGATAGTTCACTTTGAAATTAATTTTTGGTATGTTTTAGCTTACCTCAAGTGCATCCAAGATGCAGGTGTCTTTGTTTCCACAGTATTTTTGATATTTTGGTCAAACCGTTCTTGTCTGTCAGTCATATAATGGAGGTCTATGGTCACCACCTAAAAGAGCATGCACAGATAAGTCCAAATTAAACATGATTTAATGACTCATTGATGGAAGCACACATTGATGGTCTAAGACACGAAATGAGCGGTTTGTGAGAGAAAACGAACAGTATTTATATCGTTTTAACCTCTTGTAACCACAGCCACCGAGCCACGTCCAAGTGATCTGAAGGCATCTTGCGCGGTTGTGAAAAAAAAAATCAAAGTTGTCTGTTGATATATCAAAATCGTCACAGTGAAAGGTAGCACTTCTGAAATCGAGAGATCACTTCTGGGGCTTTCTGGCACGTTTGCGCAGATAGAAGCGAGCTTGCCCTCAGAGTACTTGGACATGACTGTGATTACAAGAGCAAAGACACCTACATCTTGGATGCACTTGAGGTAAGCTAAAACATACCAACAATTAATTTCAAAGTGAACTATCCCTTTAATACCATGGTGTCATATTAGTATAGCATACTAGCATACAATTTGTATTTCTGCTATAAATAAGCATAATTAACATACCTATAGTACTTGAAGCCTGTAACTGTGCCATACATACACATGTGAGCCAAGAAATACAGACTGAAAGCGCTGTGTATCCCTCATGACAGTATCAACAGACACGCACAGGTGGCCACAGAGATGCGCAACTCTGATTACCTGCTCCGAATGCCTCCACTTCCTGTGGAATGCCTGGACATTGACGGAGACTGGAACAGCCTGCCAATCATCTTCGAGGACAGATACGTGGACACGCCCTGTTTAGGTGATGGCCAACAGAGACCCTGTTTAAAAGAGAACAAATGAATGGATACATGAATTAATTAATGGCCAAACTGAACACAAGAATGAGCTAACGAACTAACATAAAACTAACGACAGACATAAACTAACGAATGAATACGTTAACTAATTATTGAATTAATGAACACAAGATTAATTGAACAAACAGAGTAACTGTGACTGTGATAATGAAAGAACATAGTAATGAACTTTTGAGCAGACTAACATGAATGGACGAATGAATGAATGAACATACAAATGATTGAATGAACAAACAATGAACAGACAAACAAATTAAGGAAAGAATGATAATATGAACAGACACTAACAAATAAATTATTGATCTAATAACAGAAGAATAAATGGACAAACAAACTAATTAACATGCTGAACTAACAAATGAATGAATGAACTAAAGAACGTAAGAAATTTATGATTAAACAAATAAATGAACAGAAGAATCAAATGAATGAACAGATGAACAAGAAGATAGACAAATGAATATACAGTAGGTCAACAAAACATGTGGTTGACCAAAGGTACTAGAGCGTGACCGATAAAGGATTTTGAAGGCCGATACCGATACAAATATTTGTTGGTTTTAAAATCTGATATATCGGCCGATATTATTATTATTTTATTTCAGAAACACGTAACAAAATATTAACAGATTTCCCTAACATTAGTTATTTTTAGTTAATTATGAGTTTTAACTAAAATAATATGATAATACATAACTGGTTCTCTCTGCCCGACTCTGGCTGGATCAGGATGTGTGGCGCGTTATACACGAGTGTTGCCAACAGGGACGGTGTAGAGTGCCCTCTGGTGGACAAACTATACAACTCCAACACTCATGACCTGGTTGAAGCGTGATTCGCCCGTTTTTATTTTACTTTTGAAATATTCATTTATCGGCCATTATAACTGCCGATAAAAATCCCTAATATCGGCCTGCTGATATATCGGTCTGGCTCTAAAAGGTACACATTAAAGTACCTTTAATGTTTAGAAATAAAAACACAGTTGAACCCTTTTTTGTTTCTCTGTTCTAGACTACAACCTCCATGAGCAAAATCAGACTGTCTTGAACTCTCAGCCGTCTCCTGAGCCAACCAGAACTATTGAAGGAATACAGGACACTAACTCACCAGCATCAGCCCCTGAGAAACCCACGGACATGGATTTGCCCACGGACATGACGCTGATTGGCCAGCAGGAGGACCGCATCACTGATTATAAAGAGACCGGACCACAAGCAGAGACTCTGATTGGCCGTGTGTGTGAGGCAGATATTGACAGAAGCGAACGCATCGTGACGAGCAGAGATTCAAGAATTGAGTCTGTTGATGAAGCCACATGCCGATATGAAACCGAGGAAGGATTCGATGTCGACTGTAGGTCTGTGGACAGCGATGAAGCAATAGATACAGATAACCTGGAGAGAACTAGTTGCCAAACGGTTAACTTTGATGAATCTGAACATGCAGGTCTAAAACAAACTGATATTACACAAAGTACTGATTTGAGGAGCAGGCAGACACTGGCACTTCCCGACCACACCAGTCTTGACAGCTTTGAGTTCTTGCCCACTCACAACCATGACAACCATCTTCAAACACCAAGCAATACTGGGAGTCTTGGCAACGAGGAGCCACAGTCGGATGACAGATATATTGAAGCGCCTGCAAAGGGTTATGGGAGCCAGGATACTTCACCAGCTACTCTACTGAACACCAAGTCTCCTTCTCGTAACGTTCTACAACAGAACCGTCGCTTGTCCGAGAACCCTCCCAGGGGGGTATTCTTGGCCGGGGCTAAGTTAATAAACCGCTCCTCCTCCGTGATCTCAGACTCCGGTATTGAGAGCGAGCCAAGCTCTGTGGCCTGGACCCTGGAGGGTCCAGGAGTTGTCGCAGGGGGTCGTGACGTCTTGGCGCGGTGTCGGGCGGCACATCAGAGCTCTCTCGAGGGCCTGCAGACGGAAAGTCACGGAAGCCTTCCCAGTGCCACACAGGCCTCTTTGACCTCCATCAGCTCGCTACCGTACGAAGAGGAGGAGGAGAGGCAGCTCAACACTTTGACCAAATCTGTCTCGGCGCCGCAGATCAGCAGCCCCGACGACACCGAGGAGGATCAGGTGGACTGCGTGGCCAATCATCTGAGGCTGAGTGAGGTGAATCCGAATCTTCAAGACGTTATTAGAGAGGACAAAGAAGAAACAACCAATCGAGAGAAGATGAACGTTTGTATGGCCAATCAGCTGAGGCTGAGTGAGGAAGCAGCCAGTGAGGGGAAGCCGAATCTTCAAGGTGTTACTAGGGAGGACGGAAACGAAACAACCAATCAGGAGAAGAGGAATATTTGTGAGGCCAATCAGCTAAGGCAGAGGACTGAAGCAGCCAATGAGGTGAAGCGGAATCTTCATGGTGTTACTAGGGAGGACGGAAACGAAACAACCAATCAGGAGAAGAGGAATATTTGTGAGGCCAATCAGCTAAGGCAGAGGACTGAAGCAGCCAATGAGGTGAAGCGGAATCTTCATGGTGTTACTAGGGAGGACGGAAACGAAACAACCAATCAGGAGACTGACCCCATTGAGTCGTCCAATCAGGAAAAGACAAGTCTTGCTTTTGTAAATACAGAAGTGTTACTATACCAGCAATTTCTAATGGATAACGGTGTTGAAAATGTCACACTGACTGAAAACTCGGAGGAATGTCAAGGAAACGTATTGCTTAAAGTGTATTCTGGTGTAATGGATGACAAGACAGAGATTTGTTGTGAAAATGAATACTGCGAGTCAAACGCGTATCAAAAGGACCATGATGACATCAGTGTTTGTAACATTCATTTGAATGAACTTGAGGAAGTAAGTATGGAGAACTTCACGGGTTTACCAACCAATGACAAGAGCGGTCACAGAATAACAGCCAATGAGAAAGAAAGGCTCGCAGATCTAATCAAGCTTCCGGCCAATGAGAGAGAGCAGCAGGCGCTAGAGGGGCAGAGCAGAGCCAATAAAGTGCAAAGTACAGGTCTGGCATTCATGAATAAAAAGGTGGTGGAGGTTGTGAACCTGTCGGTGTCGTGCGCTCCCACGTGTCTGCCCTTCTCGTCCGTACTTCGCGATTCACCGTCGGTCAGTGGAATCTCCACACGCCAAGCCACCTCCCCAATTACCCATCAACCCCTGGGCTCTTTCGGCATCATCTCCTCTAACACCTTCTTCGGGGATGACCAGGAAATCAACGAGCGAATGATCAAGTAACTTTTTCTTTGATTTTAACAATGTTTCAGCAATATTTTATTGTTAGTGTGTTTACTACTATTAAATAAGTCACTATTGTGTGTCTATACTGTATACTATATAGTGGTCACTATTACTATAGCTCATGCTTAAAGGAGTAGTTCACTTCCAAGATGTCCATGTCTTTCTTTCTTCAGTCGAAAAGAAATCAAGGTTTTTGATGAAAACATTCCAGGATTTTTCTCCATATAATGGACTTCAATGGGAACCAAACGGTTCAAGGTCCAAAAGACACTTTCAGTGCAAACTGCAAACTGTTCAAAGGGCTTTAAATGATTCCAGACGATGAATAAGGGTCTTATCAAGTGAAACGATCGCTCATTTACAAAAAAAAGAAAGAAAAAATGTTATAAGCTCAAATGGTCACCTTGCTCTGTTCTGTGATGCGCGTTCGTGACTCTCCTGTTCGAACTCCTTCATCAAAATGAACAAATCTTTTCCAGAGTCAATTTGTTTGTTTCATACATTGTATGAACCAAATGACACGAAACGCAAACGAAGTCACAAACGTGCATCACAGAACAGAGCAAGGCGGCCATTTGAGCTTATAAAACTTAAACTTTTTTTTTAAACTTTTTTTTTTTTTTCGCTTGATAAGACCCTTATTCATCGTCTGGAATCGTATAAAGCCCTTTGAACAGTTTGCAGTTTGCACTGAAACTGTCTTTTGAACCATTTGGTACCCAGTAAAATCCATTATATGGAGAAAATTCCTGGAATGTTTTCATCAAAAACCTTAAGTTCTTTTCGACTGAAGAAAGAACGACATGGACATCTTGGATGACATGGGGCTGAGTAAATTATCAGCAAAAGTTTTTTTTTATTTTTTATTTTATTTTTTAAGTTAACCACTCCTGATTCAAATCGCTGCACCTAGGTAGTGAATTGTCCTGCACTATTTGTGCTTGGAACATGTAGGAATTTTCAAAAATGTAAATTTCCCTATCAAATAATAAAACAGAAATGGAATGCAATAAAGGCAATCATTGTTCACTGTAGTATTAAAGTTCTTCATTGATGGCTTATAGCTTCTACAAGGCAAAGGAAGCCCTGCTGAGTGAGCTGGTGTTCAGAGGCACTCTCTACAGTGATCTGCCTCACCTCGCCTCCGATCATCCATACTTCCCCCCTGAGGAAGACGACACAGAGTTTGAGGATGGGATACACCTCGTGGTGTGTGTCCATGGACTTGATGGTAAACGTTCAAATCTTAAAGACATACACTTAGATTTATAGAGGTTTACAAAACATTTACGTAAGATGATTTTTTTTTATTTTTCTTATACCAGGTAACAGCGCTGATCTGCGGTTGGTCAAAACATTTATAGAGCTCGGGCTGCCGGGATCTAGACTGGACTTCCTCATGTCAGAACGCAACCAGGTAGAGCATCCATCCAATCCGGACACTTGTTGAACTCCATTCGGCCAATCAGAGCACTCGGGATGTTGATCAAAATCTACGCCAAAACTCTTTTCAGCAATATTGAAGTATATGAGAGAACAACCTGGAGAATATGAGGCAGGAAGGAAGACAGTAATTCAAAATAGACAATTATTATAGGTAACAATGGGATTAACACTATTTGGTGAGCTCTAGTTGCAAAACACACACACACACCCACCCACCAACCAGGTTTCTTCTGGTTATGAGGGCGTATGGAAAGTATGTCAGCAGCATATTATCGGCCGATATTAGGCATTTTCTAAAATATCGGTATCGGCAGTTATAATGGCTGATAAATGAATGTTTCAAAAATAAAATAAAAACGGACATCACGCTTCAACCAGGTCATGAGTGTTGGAGTTGTATGGTTTGTCCACCAGAGGGCACTCTACGCAGTCCCTTTTGGCAACACTCGTGTATAACGCGCCACACATCCTGCAAACCTGCTGATCCAGCCAGAGTCGGGCAGAGTGAACCAGTTATGCATAACAAAATCATATTTTGTTACGTGTTTCTGAAAAAAAAAAAATAATAATATCGGCCGATATATCGGAATATCGGATTTTAAAACTAACAAATATTTGTATCGGTATCGGCCTTCAAAATACTTTATCGGTCGGGTTCTAGAAAAAAGGGTGAAAAGGTACTTTTTTTCTGCTCAGATCTATAATATGTCATTATTTTATAAATTAATTTGATCATGTCAACACAAACACATGCAATTACCACTAGTTAACACCTTAGCTGCACACAGCAACCAATCAGAAAGCTCAAATCCCCCTCAACAACCAATCCCAGCTTCATATGGTCGCCATTATAAGTTTGATCAGCTTTCTGTTGACATTCTCTCATTTTCTGTCTCCAGGTGGACACATTTGCAGATTTTGACACCATGACTGATAGACTTATGGACGAGATAATTCAGCACATCCAGCTGTACAACCTCACCATCAACCGAATCAGGTTTATAAACATATTACTCAATCAACAGGAGAAACCTCACCATCATGTTGTTATAACAGCAGTGTAATCAAACCACAGCCAATTTCCAACAGCAAAGCATCAGAGCTCAAACTATGAGTCTGGACTGTTTGTATTTAAAACATTCAATTTTATGCTTTTTTGCATCCAGATAGTCATAACATCTAATAGCAAGGTCTAACTAGGCCATATTTACCAATCAAGCCATGGAAAGTGTACACAAAAACACAAATTACAGACTAGTGCGCCCTCTTGTGGTTGAACATTTAGATACATCTGCCACAACCACTTTACAGTAGTTAATCATTTTAAGCCTCATTATTTTTGCATCTGGATTCATGAACAATTTGACATGTATGTATGTGTGATGTGTGATCTTCAGTGGTTGCTTGCTACCAAATAGTATGTTGACGTTGTATACAAAAATTGCCTTCAAATGCTTGATCCAGGTGAAGTGTAGCATGAAGTATAAAGCTTCACTTTAAGGAAATGCTTTTAGAGTCAGCAATATAAATAGTGTATACAGAAGTCAAAATGTGATATTTGCTCCTGGATGGTAATAGACCACTGATCCCACTAGAAATGCATCTGCTATACTTATTATTACCACAAGATGGCAGTAGAGTAAAAGAAAGCTAGTGTTTGGAATTCAGAAGCAATTAAATCTAAACACACTCACACAATGCACTGAAAAATGGAACAAACGTTTCTCCTAGTTCACTTTTAATCTTAATTTCACAGTCATTTCTTTGTCTTTTAATAGACTTCCCATTCTCTGCGCGCTCTGTCTTTGTTCCTACAATAAAGTCTCTAATGTCTTTTCAAAATCAAATGTTAAAGTTTAAAGATGATTGAAAGAGACTTAATTAAAGCTGTAGCTTTAATGTAGAAATAATTTGCATGAAAACTCGTCAAAACTGAATCTTCGTTTTACTTTTGGAAAGTTTGATGCCTGACTTTTTTTTGTTTCCTTTCTGCAGTTTTATCGGGCACTCTTTGGGGAACGTCATCATTCGCTCTGTTCTGACCCGACCCAGATTTCGCTGTTACCTCTGTAAACTCCACACATTCCTGTCCCTGTCTGGACCCCACCTGGGAACGCTGTATAACAACAGCACACTAGTCAGCACAGGTACACACAGAAATACATCACACACTTAAAAACTGAAAAGGTCAGTAAGATTTTTTTTTTTTTTAAATGAACATTTTCATTCTTTTCAGCAAGGATGCAAATTGGTCAAAAGTGACAATAAAGATATTTATAATGTTACAAAAGATTTCTATTTGTCAAATAAATGCTGTTCTTTTGAACTTTCTGTTCATCAAAGAATCCTGGAATAAATGTATGAATGGTTTCCGCATCATTCTGAACCCTTATGACTTCTTCAGGTTTATGGCTAATGCAGAAACTGAAGAAGTCCGGATCTTTACTCCAGCTTACGTTCAGGGACCACACTGACCCACGACAGACCTTCCTCTACAGACTCAGCAAGAAACCAGGTACAGACACATGAGCAAATAAGCAAGAATGAACACCAACACATATACATCAATACCTACAGTAGGTTTTCTTACTTTCTTTGTCCAGGTCTTCAGTTCTTCAAGAACGTGGTGTTGGTGGCCTCCCCACAGGACCGATACGTGCCCTTCCACTCGGCCCGCATTGAGATATGTCGGACAGCCCTTAAAGACAGAACCACAGGTCTGTTAGTTCAAAAACTCTCTGTTCCAACCCAATTCTATAGAAAGGACATAGAACCCCCTTAGCAACCAACAGAAAAAAAAAAACAGACATATTCGCTCTTATACGCAAGCCTTCTGCATTTTGGAACAGTCAAATCCAGTCCGTGACACTCAAGAGCAAATTGACTGCAACCTACAGTAGTTATTCACATGGATTGAAATACCTATATCTGCAATAGACATTAGCAGATGATTTTCACAGCATTTAGTTTGTCGAATATTGAGTTATACATCAAAACACAAACCTGCGTAATGGAGGCCAGCTAGTAAAGAGCTGTGCAGGTAAACCTCACTCCTCAAGTGGCCCGCTCGGAGTGGTGCGAGTTGAACCGAAGGAGGTTACGTTGGTGCCGTGACCCTGGTGGGAGTGATGGAGAGATTGTAATGGAGGCCAGCTAGTAAAGAGCTTTGCAGGTAAACCTCATTCCTCAAGAGGCCAGCTCAGAGAGGCCAGCTGTGCAGGTTAACCTCAGTCCTCAAGTGGCCCGCTCGGAGTGGTGGGAGCAGAACCAAAGGAAATTACATTGGTGCCGTGACCCGGGTGGGACCGATGGAGTGATTGTAATGGAGGCCAGCTAGTAAAGAGCTTTGCAGGTAAACCTCACTCCTCAAGTGGCCCGCTCGGAGTGGTGCGAGTTGAACCGAAGGAGGTTACGTTAGTGCTGTGACCCTGGTGGGAGTGATGGAGAGATTGTAATGGAGGCCAGCTAGTAAAGAGCTTTGCAGGTAAACCTCATTGCTCAAGAGGCCAGCTCGGAGTGGTGCGAGTAGAACCAAAGGAGGTTACATTGGTGCCGTGACCCGGGTGAGACTGATGGAGTGATTGTAATGGAGGCCAGCTAGTAAAGAGCTGTGCAGGTAAACCTCACTCCCCTGGCCTCAAGAGGCCCGCTCGGATCGATGTGAGTAGAACCAGAGGGATTACATTAGTGTCGTGACCAGGATTGGAGTGAGTGTAATGGAGGCTAGCTAAATGGCTGTGCAGGTAAACCTCACTGCCCTGGCCTCAAGAGGCACATTACCGACTGATTCAAGAGGCGGCGGTTTTTAACATCCTTGTTATCATGCCCACCTCCCATGCCGGAAACACCGGTGAAAATCCCGTTTGGAGTGATGCGAGTAGAACTGGAGGGGTTACGTTGGTGCCCTGACCTGGATGGAAGTGAGTGTAATGGAGGCCAACTAGTAAAGAGTCGTGCAGGTAAACCTGGCTGCAATCTTTATCGTCCTTGTTGGTGCCGCTTTGAACGATGCTTATAGAACCTTTTATTCTTACTTCTAAAAGGTTATCCCATTACATCTGGAATTTATAGCTCAGTAGTTTTTTAGACTGCACAATGCTTTGACATTTTCAGTGAAAGTTCATTGATTGGTTAGTCTGAGTGATGAACAGTGTCATGTTAACTGTTTCAAGATAGCAGACAAGTCGATGTGTCTGGAGCGGTTGAACCCCATCTACGTAAACATAAATATGAAACACCCTGATATAATGCTGAAAACTCCTGAAACAACATACCAACATTCTAAAATATTCAAAACCACCTAGCAACCGCAAAGTAATGTCCTAGCAACTTCTAGCATAATCTAGCAAGTACATTGTAACACCCTAGCAAACGTACGGGATCCCCAGAGATCAATCGCTTCAACAATTCTTAATTTTTTTTACATATAAAATACAAATAAACCTGAGATGTTTCTGCACGCATTGGTGTGAATGAAATTGAATGAAAAGGAAGCTGTGATAGGAAGTTAAAGAGAGAGTGAGAGGAGGGAAAGCGTTCTTCATTTTATGAGACTGTCACCACTGAGAGTGGTGTGCGGCTCTTTGACAGGTATTTTTCGCTCGGTTTGAAAGACAGATTAGAGAATTTAGACTCTCTGTGAGTGTCAGTGTGACAGACAGAGCTAAGGATACACACTCTGAACTGTCACACACACACACAAAGACTACGATCACATAGAACAATGAAGGATGCCTTGAAATAGAGACTTTGTTCGGATATAAATGTGCACAGTGCACACACTGTCAATGCATAGCTAGTTGCAGACAGTAAAAAATGGCAAGAGCTTTCGCAATATGACGAGTTCCAATCAGGCTTTTCAAAAGTCTGTTCGCACAGGTTTTTATCCATCCACTAGGAGACAAGTCATGTTTACGAATTCTTAGGCCCTTCTGGGAAATAACTAGTCACTAGATTTGCAGGGTTTGCAAGGTTTATGCAAGACTGTTGCATGCTGTGGATTTGCTAAAATAAATATTTTGACTCAGCCCAGATATATATATATATATATATATTTTTTTTTTTTTACAAAAAAAAGCAAAAATGGAAGTCAATGAGGCGAGGCATTATATCAGAATGAATGTAATATACAACAGGGTTTAAGGCACACCTTAAGAAAAATGTGTATAATTGCAGAAAAAAAAGATATACTCTTTGTATTGAACATTGATGGGGCAACAGATTTTATGTGAAAATAAATCATGAAAGTGGTTTATTACCCACACATGGGGTAAAACGCACACCAGAGTGGGGCAAAATGCACAAAAAAAGGATTTTTACCCCAAATAGCATTCTTTTACATATTCTTCCCCTATTGAAAAACTGTTACTTTAACAATCTTGAAAAAAATCATTAAGAAGACATTATCCTCACCATGCTGCATTAATTTGATCAAAACATACAAAAGTGTGAAACAATATTACAGCTTAAAATAAAATTTCGATTTGAATATACACTCACCTAAAGAATTATTAGGAACACCATACTAATCTTGTGTTTGACCCCCTTTCGCCTTCAGAACTGCCTTAAACGTGGCATTGATTCAACAAAGTGCTGAAAGCATTTATTAGACACGTTGGCCCATATTGATAGGATCGCATCTTGCAGTTGATGGAGATTTGGGCATGAAGCTCCCGTTCCACCAAAGATGCTTGAGATCTGGTGACTGTGGGGGCCATTTTAGTACAGCGAACTCAATGTCATGTTCAAGAAACCAATTTGAAATGATTCAAGCTTTGTGACATCAGAGGATGGGGACATGGTGGCCATAAAGGGATGGACATGGTCAGAAACAATGCTCAGGTAGGCCGTGGCATTTAAACCATGCCCAATTGGCACTAAGGGGCCTAAAGTGTGCCAAGAAAACATCCCGCACACCATTACACCTCCACCACCAGCCTGCACAGTGGTAACAAGGCATGATGGATCCATGTTCTCATTCTGTTTATGTCAAATTCTGACTCTACCATCTGAATGTCTCAAAGAAATCGAGACTCATCAGACCAGGCAACATTTTTCCAGTCTTCAACTGTCCAATTTTGGTGAGCTCTTGCAAACTGTAGCCTCTTTGTCCTTTTTTTAGTGGAGATGAGTGGTACCCGGTGGGGTCTTCTGCTGTTGTAGCCCATCCGCCTCAAGGTTCTGAGTGTTGTGGCTTCACAAATGCTTTGCTGCATACCTCGGTTGTAACGAGTGGTTATTTCAGTCAAAGTTGCTCTTCTATCATCTTGAATCAGTCGGCCAATTCTCCTCTGACCTCTAGCATCAACAAGGCATTTTCGCCCACAGGACTGCCGCATACTGGATGATTTTCCCTTTTCACACCATTCTTTGTAAACCCTAGAAATGGTTGTGCGTGAAAATCCCAGTAACTGAGCAGATTGTGAAATACTCAGACCGGCACCAACAATTTGCTTAAATCGCCTTTCTTTCCCATTCTGACATTCAGTTTGGAGTTCAGGAGATTGTCTTGATCAGGACCACACCCCTAAATGCATTAAAGCAACTGCCATGTGATTGGTTGATTAGATAATTGCATTAATGAGAAATTGAACAGGCGTTCCTAATAATCCTTTAGGTGAGTGTATTTTAAAATGTATTTACCCCTGCTTTGCAAAACTAACTCTAAACTATGAACACGTGTGTGTGTTGCCCCCAAACAGGTCCGGTGTATACAGAGATGATCAATAACTTACTCCAGCCATTGCTGAGCGCTCCAAACTGTCGTTTGATCCGACAAAACGTGTTCCATGCGTTACCGAACACGGCCAACACGCTGATCGGACGCGCGGCTCACATCGCGGTGCTTGACTCTGAACTCTTCCTGGAGAAGTTTCTTCTGGTGGCCGGGCTCAACTACTTCAAATAGCCAAGCTTCAGAGATGACATCATCTGCAGTTCTGTGGGAGAGCCAATCAGCCTACAACCTCGCATCAGCCAATCACATTTCATTTCAGAGTCATAATGAGCTCTGGAGTTTTTTTTTTCAATAAGTTCAGTCCATGGATGCAAAGAGAACAGAAATTGAAGATTCAGAACATCAATCTGAATACATCTATGTAAAATTTGTACAGAAAGAACACTATAGCGGAAGGCCTACACACGCCTTAATGAAGCTTCGACGTAGTAACTTAACATTGAATAATCATAACTGGAGTTAATCATTTGAATGTAAATTCAGTGTGTAGCTGGTTCTTCATTCCTTCCAGACACCGAACGTAAGTCTGCTGCGCCGTTTGTAACTTGAAGAGGTAGATATCACTGGACTTTAATACTTGAAGAGTCACTTGACGTTTAAGTCTCGCTTTATGAGAACGCTTAAGTGTTTTCATGTTCTCATTCTTTTATAGTTTGTGTTTCGACGGTCATGTTGTGAAGTGAGAATCTCACTGTGAAATAAGCCAAATCCATTCCCTGTAACAGTATTCATTTGGTGAGAAGAGCTCATGATCTGAATGTGTTTACCATTCCAGCCTTAACTACCACAAAGTGAGTATTTCTCAACATTTTCTGTCTTGTCAGTGTTTTGTTGATTCATTTTCAAATGGTTAGTTCACTTCTGTCATCATTTACACACCATTCATGCCATTCCAAACCAGAGTTCTTCTTTCATAGCCCTATAAAAACATGAAGAAGAAAAAACCCAGTCATCATAAAGCTGATTTTAAAATGATACATTCTTGTAAGACATTTTTTAAATAAGTTTTCTGCAGTTTAACTGTTTGAGCGAGCATTCATAACTATTTTCTTTTTAAATACTGGATGTATATGAAAGAGGTTTTGCCATCACACTCAACAGAAAATGTATGCTCATGCTTTTGTGACACACTCTTCCGAACATTAACGATATACTTTCATAGATTTTGCAAGGCAGGACAGCGTGATACTTGCATACTTGAATTGTAATTGGTTTTCTTTCTTTCATACTAAAACGTGTGGTAGTTTCTTTTCCTTTTTTTACATCCATCCTATCATCTTTAGCCTCCTTTACCTTACACTTACCACAGAAATTACGTCTCTAAGAAAGGCTTTGATTGAATGGAAAGGTTTAGTAGTTTAGTCATTTTAGTAAGTTTGTAATTTATTCCAGTGATCATTACTCCAGTCTTCAGTGTCACATGGCCCTTCAGAAATCACTCTAATAAGCTGATTTGCTGCTCAAGAAACATTTCTTATTATTAGCAATGTTCCAATATTTTTGCAATATTCATTTTTTAAATACATTTTCTCCCCTAGGATTCAAGTTCAAAAGAACAGTATATATTCATAAAAGAAATCTTTAGGAACATCATAAATGTCTTACAGCCACTTTTCATCAATTCAATGCATCTATGCTAAATTAAAGTATTTACTTCTTTAAAAAAAACTATTCTTTTGAATGGTAGTGTACCTAAAACTTCCACATATTTCTTTTTCAGCACCGATATTCAAGTTTTTTTTAAAGACATTATGTAACATTATGTATTTATTGCTGATTGAAACTCAAGAGAAAGTGTCTTAGTGTTTATGGTAGTTGCGGCCCTGTTGTGTTTGTTTTATGTATTGTATAGTGTGTGAAAACATGTGTCTGGTTGTCGTGAGATAGGTGAAGCGGTTTCAATTGCCATGTCATTGTGTTAAAGGAGTAGTTCACTTTAAAAAAAAATACTTTTGCTGATAATTTATTCACCCCCATGTCATCCAAGATGTCCATGTCATTCTTTTTTCTGTCAAAAATAAGTTTTTGACGGAAACATTCCAGGATTTTCTCCATATAATGGACTTCAATGGGAACCAAACGGTTCAAGGTCCAAATGAGAGTTTCAGTGCAGCTTCAAAGGGCTTTAAACGACATCAAACGACACTAACGTCTTATCTAGGACCCTTCGAGTCATGAATCGAAAAAAGATTTGTTCATTTTGATGAACGAGTTCGAACAGGAGAGTCACATAGAACAGAGCAAGGCGAGCATTTGTGCTTATAAAACTTAAACTTTTTTATAAAATTTTGAAATGGCCGATTGTTTCGCTAGATAAGACCCTTATTCATCGTCTGGTGTCGTTTAAAGCCCTTTGAAGCTGCACTGAAACTCTCATTTGGACCTTGAACCGTTTGGTTCCCATTGAAGTCCATTATATGGAGAAAATCCTGGAATGTTTATCAAAAACCTTAATTTCTTTTCGAATGAAGAAAGAAAGACATGGACATCTTGGATGACATGCGGGTGAGTAAATTATGAGCAAAAGATTTTTTTAAGTGAACTACTCCTTTAAGCATCACAGTGTTTTGGGTTCTTGGTCTGTTTCACCAATGTCCTCCCCCAGAGCAGCGTATCTTATTTATTGCATTGCATCTGACTGCAATGACCTCGGTTTGATCTCTTAGAGGGATCGTAATGATGCACGTTCTTAGTTTTCCCCATAAAGGCTGTTCTTCATCTGTCTGCTCCTCAAGGGTAACACTCACACACATCTCTCCGCAGCCACACCTCAGGTTTTCACCTCGTTCAGCATCTTTAGCTCTCGTTTTCCATGAGTTCTGGGTCTCATTCAGCCGCTGTCAGCACCGTGCGATTGGGTTTAGATCAGCGCCGCAGTGTCAGCAGACTTACAAGATGCCCTTTCTGTCTCCGCTGAGCTTTTATGTACACGCTGTCTGACTGACGCTTGATTAGTCGGTAAATACGCTTTCATGGTGATTGACACTAATTTAACTCCGCCTCTTAGTACACGGGTGTGTCACGTGACTCGACTGCTTCTGTTACCGCTGAAGGAGCCATCAGGCATAACGCCCCATTACCCATCATGCTCTGCTGCACTGGGGTCTTAGTGTGCTTGTTTGTTTGTTTGTTTGCCATGCTAATGTGGGCTGATGGAAGAGTTTGCTCACACAAGTCAAGCATATTAATTACGGAAATTGAGCTGATCTGGAGTGTGAACACTGACCAAGGGCAAAAGCATGTATGTGTAAAAACGTATTCCCCTTGAAAATCCCCTTGAAGCAGTTGAACCCTTTAATAAGCTATAATTATTGTAACACGTTCAATTAAGTGTCATCAACAAGAAAGTACAAAAGAAAGTGTTGACAGTTCTTATTGAAGCAGGAAATTGGTGTGTGTGTGTACATATATATATATATATATATGAAGAGTTCAGATGCAAAAGCCTCTAAACGCCATTTGAAATTTTCTTCTTTAATGATGATTTTTATCAAGCTTGTATATTTAAATTCAGTAATTTCACCTCAATAACAATTAATAGGTAATTATCATTGCCATTTAAGTGAAATTACTGAACTTAAATATACAAGCTTGATAAAAATGATCATTCTAGAAGAAAATTTCAAATGGCACTTAGAGGCTTTTGCATCTGAACTCTTCATATATATATATATATATATAAATATATATATTAGGGCTGCCAAACGATTAAATGCATTCAAAATAAAAGTTTGTGTTTACATAATATTTGTGGAAAAAAAAATGTATTTATATATAGAATATTTATATATAATATAAATTATATATAAATCTATATACATGAAAATATTTCTTAAATATATACAAGCATGTGTGTGTATTTATATATATAAAATAATTATACACATATTATATATTATATAATATAATATTACATATTATGTAAACACAAACTTTTATTTTGGATGAGATTAATCGTGATTAATCGTTTGACAGCCTTTATATATATATATATATATATATATATTAGGGGTGTATACAGTATATACAGTATATACATATATACATATATATATATATATATATATATATATATAATAAGTATGTGTATCTAATTAATATATAAACTTATTTTTCCACATCTGTTTCAAGCTAAAAAAAAAGTATTGGCAAAATATGTACAATAACATATTTGTGCTTTATGTTATTTGCAAAAATATATTTGATCAGAACACACTTACTTTTTGGGTCTAGATGCTGTAGTTACGACATTTCACGATCAAATCAATTCCCATTAGATGAAGTCCTGCCTTTTTCTCGTTGAACATCCTGCTGAATATGTCACACAAGGGAAGTTAAATGGGATACAAACAATATTCCATGACTTGAATCATCTTTCCTTTTACATTTCAATTCAATCCAAACATCATGATGATAGATCTCTATGACACAAAAAAGTCAAATCAAATATTTAGGAGTGTGTGTGTGTGTGTGTGCGTTTATAAAGAGGCAGCTCGTCTAGGTAAATGTTGGGTAAGCGGTTCTTCATTCAGAGCTATTTATTTCCAGCATACGTTTGTGTTTTCATCCAGATCTGTGTATTAAGCCATGAATGTGAAAACAGATGAAAATGTATTCACTGTGAGACTTTAATGTGTTTATTTGAGTTAGCTTTTCACATTTGTGCCAATGATATTCTGACGTTTTTTCTATGTTTGCTTTAATTACTGTACGTGTCCCTTGTAGTAGCTTATACCCAAATATATAAATAAGTATATATTCTGTGTACATTAAGAAATATTACATTATATTATGATCAAATGAAGTATTACAATAAATAGTATTCTTCTTTCTTTGTTCATTGTTCTTATTGAAATAAAACAGACTATTGCCCAATCAGAATCAATATGCAAAGAGGCCATTTAAACTACATTACTTGTGGCAAACAACGCCAATGTTTTATGGTGATTGTGCGCCACTGGGAAGGGTTTAGGCTCTCAGTTTGCATAAGAAGAGTAAAATCCATTTAATGAGTGGTTTATTGCTTTAATCTATATCATCTGCCCTCTATATTTGGAACTAGACACTGTAATCACAGACGTGTTTAGTAGCTCTTAGCATGTTCACCATATCACTTGTTAAATACAGATTCGAATTTAATAATGAAGTGTGGATCGCAATAACTTGACCTTGAATTGAAGGAGGATTACAGCAAGTATGCAACATTCATTTCATCCCACAACAAATCCAGAGAGATTCCCAGGTATTAATGAGACAAAGCCCGAAGGCTCCCGACGCAAAACACAGTAAATCCTCTTAAAGGTCTTGCGTGTTGCGAAACAACCCTTCTCGAGGATGCCGAACCCGTCAAACCAATCAAAGCCTGCCAAAATGCGACTCCCCTGGCTGCGAGGGATGTCCTCAGGAAATACATTCACGACCTTAGAAGAGTCATTTCTCTTTTTCTCTCGGCCTGTTTGTCATTTAACTCGGAGATTTGGCGTAGTCTGCAAGGAGACTCGAATCAATAAAGCCGCTTCCTCCGAACGGGGCCCTCAGACAGATGGCAGCCATTGAGATACGCACTGATACAATAAAGCTTTTCATTCATCACTTATCAAGCGAAAACAAACACGAAATGAAACGAAACAAAGACAGCGAACCCCATTTACCACCGGCGTTTGATGCGGGTCACGCGGATTTCAAGTGCTCTGGGACCAATGCAATTTCGGTCCGTTTTTCACGTGGCCTGTGGGCGAAAATGAATTTTGTCATTAAATCCATCACAGGCCCTGACTGAAAGAGTATTCATTAGTTTGCGCTGCAGTGTGGGAAGCATCTGTTCATTATTAGTCCCCCGACGAGCATTTTCCAGGAAGCCATTGTCAATAAGCGAGAACTCCGTAAGGAGTAATTAGCGTGCTATAAATTCAGACTACGCGGACAGTAGCGGCCTCTCACAGGTCTCATTAGAGCACATGACACCAATGGGAGAACGATACCAAGATTAATCGGGACAAAAGAAGAAAGAAGCATTTCTTACCGTACGATATGTCTTTGTGGAAAAGAAGGTGCACTGCTGCCGGTTACAGTATCCATATCAGCGTGAGCATTTCAAATCCTAGGGATATTAGAGCTTGTGTTACGGCACAGGTCTAACCAGACAAATAAGCTCAAAAATCACAATAAAACAGTTTAACGTATGCACAGACTCCTTCAGAGAAAAGAAAATGGCTGTGAAATAACATGAGGTGAGTAAATAATAGGGTTGGGTATCGAGAATCGAGTATCGATTGGAACCGGGACTAACTTTTCATTTTTCCCGGAATCGTTCAAAAGTTCAAATTTCGATTCCTAGTTTCGATATTCACAGTCCGCCGAGCGGAAGAAGAAACAGCTGAACAACACCAAAGAAGAAGCGTCTACCGGAAGTGTTGGCATAACCGCGCGAGTC